CCCCCAGGTCGTGCGTGTCTGTGGTTGCGGGATTCATGGGGATTTGATACGTTTTGAAAGATAAAAACACATGCGGGATTGTTGTGAAATTATTCATTTAAAGAAAGATTTATTTGTGGTATTTTTTTTGCTGCCAGGTGGCGGAGGTCGGACGGCAGCCTCCGCCACCTGGCATGTGGCGGAGGTCGGACGGCAGCCTCCGCCACCTGGCATGTGGCGGAGGTCGGACGGCAGCCTCCGCCACCTGTCATGTGGCGGAGGTCGGACGGCAGCCTCCGCCACCTGCCATGTGGCGGAGGTCGGACGGCAGCCTCCGCCACCTGGCAGGTGGCGGAGGTCGGACGGCAGCCTCCGCCACCTGCCATGTGGCGGAGGTCGGACGGCAGCCTCTGCCACCTGCCATGTGGCGGAGGTCGGACGGCAGCCTCCGCCACCTGTCAGGTGGCGGAGGTCGGACGGCAGCCTCCGCCACCTGGCAGGTGACGGAGGTCGGACGGCAGCCTCCGCCACCTGGCAGGTGACTTGAGGTCAGGAAGGTGGCGCCAGGAACGCCTCCAGGTGTATGGTAATGAAGCACTGCTCATCTTTCGTATGATGTCTTCATCTGCGACTTCCCAGCCTCCTCATATCCTGTCGTGCTCCAGGCACCACTACCAGCCTGTGTTGTGTGTTGGGGAAAGGGAAGCCCTCAGAGACCTTCCTTAGAAGGTTGGGGTGGGGTGTTTGCTCAATTTAGAGACCTTCCTTAGAAGGGTGGGGGGGGGGGGTTTGCTCAATTTAGAGACCTTCTTTAGAAGGGTGGGGGGGGGGGGGTTGCTCAATTTAGACCTGCCTTACAAGGGTGGGGGGGGGGGGGTTTTGCTCCATTTAGAGACCTTCTTTACAAGGGTGGGCTCTTCCTTTCAGACCTTCCTATGACACTTAGAAAAAATCATGAAGACTTCGCTGTAACTCATAACTCAAAATGTTCTCATAGATAAACCACCTTTTTATGATGTCCTTGAACATTATAAGCAGCTATATAACCGGGCCGCGGGGCTGTTGATCCCCGGAAGCTACACAAGGTAGATAGAGGTGTGTGTTGCCGAGTATTGAGGACTGCTCACATTGGCTGTCTTAAGAGGAACATTTACACTCTGCAGATGTGTTAGAGAATACATTACCATGCAGGAATAACATGTAGCCCCACTGGTGGCTCCGCTCAGAATATCAATTGAACCTGCCTGCAAGAGGTGGACAACTCTTGAGGCAGGGCACGGGTAAAACTGTGTAATCTGTAGCACCTGTTGGCATACCTGATTTTCAATAATTGGAGACCATATGAACGTTAATCAATATGATGGAATCATATTCCATCATATTGATGGAATATGATTTAAATCTTATTTATTTAGATTTAAATTTCATTTAAATCTTTCATTTAAATGAATATTGGCGGATAATGTAAAGAAAATATTTTTGCAGTAGACTTGTAAATATTTTGGTAATTTTGTTCTGTTTGGGAGTCGAACCCGGGACCATTTAGTAGTAGTTACCAGCCCATCCTCATAAATAAAGGCCAAAGTTCATTCCATGCACCCGCTAAACCCCCGATTATTGATGAAAAACGGTTTACACACGATTCACAACAGATAACGTCCGAACACCTTTCGAACAAGTGCTTCGCTGACGACTTTTATTCGACCCACAACGCTGTAAATGCTTCACCCACGTACTAAAAATAATCGCCAACAGAACCTAAACACCTAACCTAACCTATGCCTATATATGCACAATATGCTAATACATTATAATATTAATTTATATTTAAAAAAAAAATCCCGCTTTGAATGAACAGCATGTAAAAATTTATGAATTCGTCTGTGGGGTCGACCACTGGATGGAATGGACTTGGTCTGAGGCCGGGTTGGGACGCACCAAAATTGTTACAAAACCGAATAAACTTTTTTGTTAATAAAATACAATACGTAAATCCAATGTGTGTAAATCAACGCAGTGATTTATCATTATCTGTAAGGTAATAAATTTGATACATTTGTATCCGGCGAGTTGTATTCCGTCTAGCAATTATTAAAATGTGAACATTAAGAATTTATTTTATATTATTATTATTCAATCTTAATTTTCCTTTTCTTGGCGTTGCTAAGTTAGTTTGGTGTCGCTTGAAGAACGTTTAAGACGTCTCGTTCGCTTGGGTTCTTCACATTAATACGCTGTATGACCTAAGATAATTCTTAATCAATATTTCGCCGCGTGACGAGGCCCGTGCCCACGTGGTTCAGCCACCATGATGTGCCCATTGTGAGCTGGGTACGGTACTACGCTCCTCGGCTACCTCATTCAGGTCCAGATCTCCAGAGTATTCATTTCCTGCAGATGATGAGAGAGTCACGCCCAGATGGTAGTAATTGCTATACCAAGTTTTAGCCGCTGACTCGCCATCAGGCTCTATCAGGCTCCACCAGGCTCTATCAGGCTCCACCAGGCACCACCAGGCATTGCCAGGCTCCACCAAGCATTGCCAGGCTCCACCAGGCTCTACCAGGCTCCACCAGGCTCCACCAGGCTGACCTAACCATCCTGTGTGAAGGGGATGTTGAGACATCACCTAGCTAGTTCTTGACACACACTGTACTCCCCTACATATAGTCTAGGGCAGCTGCATAAATTCACATGTACCTAAATGTGTTACTGTCCCTCTGCTATCTACCTTGCAAAGCCCATTAGACAGCTGTCCCCCGTTGGCTAACTACCAAACTCTCACAGCTGGCTCACTATCAAGCAGCTCTCACCGCAGCGGTGCTACCAGCCGGCCGGCCGGCTGGCTTAGTACCAACCAGCCGGCCCCACGCTACACCCTCAACCAGATGGAATTTCAGTGTCCTGTTTCCCACGCTTTGTGCGAGGTGACATGACAGGGTAACTGTAATTGTGGCTTGGTAAGGTGTGTGGGGCTTGGTAAGATGTAAGGAGTATTGTATATCTTGGATTAATGGGAATTAAAAGATGGTTGTACACTGCTACTTTGCCTCTTCCTTGGTAGAGTAGAGGTTGTGAGTGTGGTGCTTGTAGCTGCGGTTGTTGTCTGCGGTTGTGACCTGGTTGGGGTGCTGTCTGCGGTTGTGACATGGTTGGGGTGCTGTCTGCGGTCACGAGGTAGAACTAGTGGTGCTAACGACACGGTAGCATTACTGATGGGCCAGTTTCTGCTGCTGCCTCACAGGTGCCAGCCATCCACCAGGCGGAGCAGCAGCAGCAGCAGCAGCAGCAGCAGCAGCCACAGCAGCAGCAGCAGCTGCTCCTTGTGGTTTCCGGGACTCATCTGCGTGACCCCTGGCCTCTGCCGCTCCCATACCACTACACATTTGTTATAATCCATTTGCGGTGAAGCTTTTTTTCAATGGAGAGTCTTTACGAGAGCTGCGTTTGCCTCGCCGCTGCTTCCGCCTCGCTCACTTATAATAATAAATACTCCCATCTCCCGAGTATTTATTTTCCGTGCAGAAACATCCGGGCACACTAACGCGGCCGCTCGTTACCGCGAATTGAGTCATTATGCCATTAGCGGGTTTTTACGGCTTCCGCGGCGACGCTACTGAGCCTTCGTCACATAAAGACCACCATCAAGCACCGGGGTTGGTCCTTGTCACCTACACACAACGGCCGCTAGGGTCCTGGGGCCAGATTCATGAAGTAGTTAGGCAAGTACTTACGAACCTGTCCATCTTCTCTCACTCTTTGGCGGCTTTGTTTATAATTATTAAACAGTTAATGAGCTCCGAAGCACCAGGAGGCTGTTTATAACAATAACAACAGTTGATTGGCAAGTTTTCATGCTTGTAAACTGTTTAATAAATGTAATCAAAGCCGTTAAAGATTGAGGAAAGATATACAGGTTTGTAAGTGCTTACGTAACTGCTTCGTGAATCTGGCCCCAGGCTACCGTTGACCTATGCTCCCTCGAACGAGTCCTTGGAGTACTTACGAACGCAAGTACTTACGAACGTGTACATCTTTCCTCAAAATTTGACGGCTTTGGTTACAATTATTAAACAGTTTACAAGCATGAAAACTTGCCAATCAACTGTTGTTATTGTTATAAACAGCCTCCTGGTGCTTCGGAGCTCATTAACTGTTTAATAATTATAAACAAAGCCGCCAAAGAGTGAGAAAAGATGTACAGGTTCGTAAGTGCTTGCGTAACTGCTTCGTGAATCTGGCCCCTGGTAAATGTGGTTTGTGTCTAGGCCAGTGGCAACGCAGAGTATATTTGAGCTGTAGTGAGGTTATGGCAGCCGCCACTGGCAAGTGACCCGTTTCTAAGACTGACTGCTAATAACTAGCACTCTGGACTATCATTTATATTATCTTTGTGCACCTTACCGTATCTCTCTCCGCGATATATGTATCTAAACTGTTGCTTTTTTGTTTGACAAGACGTTATCGACAGAGCCCCGCACATGAGGGGTAATGTCGGTACGGTGGACGACCATAAACATTGTGTAATGAACGTAAAAGTATATATGTAGGGAGGGAGCCGGTCGGCCGAGCGGACAGCACGCTAGACTTGTGATCCTGTGGTCCTGGGTTCGATCCCAGGCGCCGGCGAGGAACAATGGACAGAGTTTCTTTCACCCTATGCCCCTGTTACCTAGCAGTAAAATAGGTACCTGGGTGTTAGTCAGCTGTCACGGGCTGCTTCCTGGGGGTGGAGGCCTGGTCGAAGACCGGGCCGCGGGGACACTAAAAGCCCCGAAATCATCTCAAGATAACCTCAAGACATGTGTACGTCTGATACCATACTACTTGTGTAAAGGAGGAAATGTTTATCTCTCAGAATGTTTGGTAATACGTTTATTGCTTGTGATGTGTGTCTATGTATGTATTAACACGATGTACTGAACGGGGTGAGAATAGCTTGAGCTACCTCATCCCTTTGTGTGGATTTTACCTCAATAAACTTATTTCAATTTTGTGATGAATGTTTTTGTGTCTTGCAGGTGACCAAGTACCGGGTTGAGAGCTGCGCCGTCTACACCAACTGTTCCTCGTGTCTGGGGGCGCGGGACCCCTACTGCGGCTGGTGCTCACTGGAGAAAAGGTCAGTTTATCTAACTTGATACACCTTCAGGGATTTTTTTTATCTAACTTGATACACCTTCAGGGATTATCTAATTTGATAAACCTTCAGGGATTATTATCTAACATGATACATCTTTAAGGATTATCGTATAACATATACACCTTTAGGGATTTTTATCTAACTTGCTACACATTCAGGGATTATTATCTAACATGATACACCTTTAGGGATTTTTTTTATCTTTGTAAGCTTCAATCCCGGTGATTCACTTGGGCTTTTTTTTTCTACCACAGACGTGGCCAGACATTTACAATGCTAACCAGCATATATACATTTTCTTCTGTCCTCCATGGACAGGGTTAGAGATGTGTTAAACATATAGTTCAAGGGTTTATTGAACACTCAACCACAGAAGGTGACTCCTCGTCTGCAAGGGATAGGTGTACTTCTCGTCTGCAAGGGATAGGTGTACTTCTCGTCTGCAAGGGATACGTGTACTTCTCGTCTGCAAGGGATAGGTGTACTTCTCGTCTGCAAGGGATACGTGTACTTCTCGTCTGCAAGGGATACGTGTACTTCTCGTCTGCAAGGGATAGGTGTACTTCTCGTCTGCAAGGGATACGTGTACTTGCTAATGTTGGGATCGATCATCACCTTCTCCAGGTCACTTACAAGACATCACAGACGCCGACCATTCACGTGTCTCCCTCATTGTGTACCTGTGTACCTTTGTGTACCTCCTCGTGCCTTCATCCTGGCCATATATGGTGTGTGCAGCATCCTTGTTTCTTCCCCCCCCCCCCACATGAGGTCATCGAGCGGTGGATTGCAAACGCCGTGTTTTGCTCAACTCATCAACTTCAAACCTCCTCCATCACTGTGTTTGGTCGTCATGGTGTTTATCGAAGCCCCACTCTTGCCTTACTGTTCTCAGGGATTTGCAGTGTTCAGTTGTGTGTGTGTGTGTGTGTGTGTGTGTGTGTGTGTGTGTGTGTGTGTGTGTGTGTGTGTGTGTGTGTGTACTCATTTGTGCTTGCGGGGGTTGAGCTCTGGCTCTTTGGTCCTGCCTGTTAACCGTCAATCAACTGGTGTACAGGTTCCTGAGCCTATTGGGCTCTATCATATCTACACTTGAAACTGTGTATGGAGTCAGCCCCCACCACATCACTGCCTAATGTATTCCGTGTGTGTGTGTGTGTGTGTCTGTCTTCTCATCTCGTTAGGTGTTCACAAGTGTCCACGTAAGTGTTTTTTTTGTTAAACTCATCACTTATCTAAAGTGAACAGGTGTACACACACCAAGTAATTACAATGTTGCTTTATAAATGGAATATGTTGCTTGCAATTAGTAGTAACAGGTATAGTGGGAAATCAAAAACTTTCTAAGATGAGACTTACGGCTTGTTGCAGACATTACGTCTCATCTGATCACGTTTAATCAGAATTAAATGCCGTAAGTCTGATTGCCTCCCTGACGGCCTCTTTTTCAAGCAAACAAGTGAAAGGGAGAAGGCATTTTAGCAGTGCCAAGGAAGGGTCTTTAAGGGAGAATATGGAGTAAAACCTTGGCACTGTCCAGTACAATGGCTGCCTCTTGGCGGCGTCTAGCAGACAGCAGGGGAGGAAGGCTGAGAGAATTATTGGACCGCCATCAATTTCCTTATCGATGCCTTTGGACACTTGATGAATAGAGTGGCATTGGACAGGAATGGAGTGCGGTAGGCGGTGGGGAGGCGCTGGTGGGTGAAGACTTGAGGTGGACAGGAGTCCCAAATCTACACAGTAAAATATCAACGTACTGGAGTGAACGATATGGAAGAAAATGCAGAATAGAACCAGTGAAGAGCAGAGGTGCCATAGGCACAATCAGAGAACACTGTATAAACATCAGAGGTCCGCGGTTGTTCAACATCCTACCAACGACTATAAGAAATATTGCCGGAACAACCGTGGACATCTTCAAGAGAAAATTAGATTGTTTTCTTCAAGGAGTGCCGGACCCACCGGGATGTGATGGGTATGTGGGCCTGCGGGCCGCTCCAAGCAATAGCCCGGTGGACCAAACTCTCACAAGTCAAGCCTGGCCTCGGACCGGGCTTGGAGTAGACTCCCAGAACTCCATCAAGCAGGTATCAAGCAGATAAGCCATGTTGTATCCTTGGGAACCCCACTTGCCTTTCTCTTAGACATCCACACGTACGACCTGCTGGACACAGCCCCGCTCCTGTGCCAGGTAAGTCCATAACGGGCTCACCATAGCCCGTGCTACTTGGAACTTGTTCCGAGTAGCTGAATCTATAACAACACCACCACTGCTACCACCCTCTCTGCGCCTCATGTAATTACCTAAGTGTAATTACCTAAGTGTAGTTACAGGATGAGAACTACGCTCGTGGTGTCCCGTCTTCCCAGCACTC